TTGTTTCCGTGATAGATCAAGAATGGCTACAACTTTCTGTGTGTGTGCGTTCATCTATACTACTATTAAACAAGCGAACAAACGAACGCACTCTGCCAGAAAATCGTCCGCCAAATACGTTTTTTCTCAAAGCGTAATCGGTGGCACGTCCGCAACTCCTACGCCTACAATCACGCTCGCAACGCACGGCAAAAAGGAAAAAACTACCAGCCCTCCTCGCCTCCCCCACGACGCCCTCCTGGGCAGGGCGCGCGCGCCTCTGCGCTCGGCCGCCGCCCCTCCGCGCTCTCCCGCCGCCGCCACGCGCCTGGGTGGCCACTGAGGCTCCCGGCCTCCTGGTCAACCAGCACGGAGCCGATGCATCGACACCAACGCGGGATCCGTCCGCCCTCCTCACTCGCTGTTTGACGCTGCCATGCATAGACGGAGGTGGTGCTGCGGCATGCGATCCGATGTCAAGATCACGGAAGAATTGCTGCTGCTGATCCCTACCTCCACCCCCAAACCACACCCACCCATGGTCGCCGAGGCCAGTCGCATCATGGGTACGTTTGCCATAACTTAATTAGCAATCAGTGTGCCGTGCTGGCTTTTGTTGGTTCAAGTTATTTGCCGATGAATCGATCTGGCCATATCCTGGCATCTATACTACTATTAAAGAAGCGAACGGACGAACGCACTCTGCCAGAAAATCGTCCGCCAAGTACGTTTTTTCTCAAAGCGTAATCGGCGGCACGTCCGCAACTCCTACGCCTACAATCACGCTCGCAACGCACGACAAAAAGGAAAAAACTACCAGCCCTCCTCGCCTCCCCCACGACGCCCTCCTGGGCAGGGCACGCGCGCCTCCGCGCTCGGCCGCCGCCCCTCCGCGCTCTCCCGCCGCCGCCACGCGCCTGGGTGGCCACTGAGGCTCCCGGCCTCCTGGTCAACCAGCACGGAGCCGATGCATCGACACCAACGCGGGATCCGTCCGCCCTCCTCGCTCGCTATTTGACGCTGCCATGCATAGACGGAGGTGGTGCTGCGGCATGCGATCCGATGTCGAGATCACGGGAGAATTGCTGCTGCTGATCCCTACCTCCACCCCCAAACCACACCCGTCCATGGTCGCCGAGGCCAGTCGCATCATGGGTCCGTAGCTTAATTAGCAATCAGTGTCGTGCTGGCTTTTGTTGGTTCAAGTTATTTGTCGATGAATCGATCTGGCCATATCCTGGCAAAACATAAAAATTAGATGAATCTATCTGGCCACATCCTTTTACGCTTATTGATTTATCTGAGTAATCTTTTTGCAATTTGTTGTACAAATCAACCTAGCTGATTTTTATAGTTAATCCTAATAAGTGGAATATTAATCTCACAAGGTCTTTGACTAATTTTAGAGCTGACTTTAGATCCCTAAAGGTTTGCAGCATCAAACGGAATTAGGTCCTGCAGTGATTTGTCAGAGGTGTATGTCTGAAGTGCTTTCGGCCATAGCATCATGCACGTACAAGTGCTTGCAAGAACGCATATTGATTGATTTTGGGAGACAAGCATGCACGAACAAGCTAGCTAGATAACCTTTCGACCATAGAGAAACCACCCTTTCTTTCTTGCAGGATTGAGAAGGCTGAAAACTTGGAATATTTTTTATGCACAGGAAGAAAGCAGATTGTGCTTGTACAAAATGATGGTGAGAAGATCAAATTTATTTTATGGGCTTTCACTTGCAAATCTTTTCAGGTTCATTTCACTCGATATAAGTTCTGTTACTTCAGTCACGTTATACCAATCCAATCATTCTCTTTCAGTGTACAGTGTAGGGAGCATGCTTCACTGGACAGTCCTTATATTGCCAGTTTTGCTCAGAATAATCATGAACTATTCATGCTTAATAGATTTAAATTACAAGATAGCAAGACATGTACTACTTGATGTAGATATGGATACTACTATAGGATGTACAATGCAAATCCATTGTTGGACTTGCACATCTAAGCGATATAGGATGTCCAATAAAAAACTTGACTGGAATAAACTTTTGGCTCGCTGAACTTTTGAGACCTAACTTACAAATTTTATAGTTTGGTAATATATAGAATAGAAATGAACATTTGGCTTGCTGAACTTGGTGTTTCTTTCTGCAGCACGGTGATTTCAGAAGTACGGTCAAATGGAAGGCTGGAGGAAGATTTTTGATATGGCAAAGGCATCAGTAAGGACATGAGACAAGAGGTAAATTCTTTTATTGTTGCCCTCTGCTACTAGATTGTACTGTTGAAATTGAGCAGCCAAATATTCAAGTTGATAATGCATTGATATATCTCTCATGTGTTAACTTGGTAGTGATGACAATGGAAAATGTATGAATATGCAGCCTTCATAGTAAAAAGGTAAAACAGTACTTTCATTTTGTTTGTTTTGCTCTAGATATATGTGACAATTGGTCATATATATGCAGGCCTGACTTGTTTCTTCGAAGGGGACAAATTTGTCCAATATATGCAGGTCTGACTTGTTTCTTCAAAGGGGACAAAGTTGTCCTCTTCATAATACTCAAGGACTAAGCTAAAAAAAAGTCAAGGACACAACTGCCAGCTTGACATATTTGGGTTTAACTATCTCTTTTGTTTGCTTCCTTCATTGTTATTACTTTTGTCGTATGTCTTATTTCTTAAAGTCTTCCTCCAAAGTTTTGTTTCGGATATGCGTATTTCATATTAGTGAAGACGTGCATTAGCCTTTGATCCTAATTTTAGAAGAAGCTCGAGTAATTAGCTCTATTTTATACGACTGGCAAGTAAGGAAACATGGCTATTGATGAAATCAGTTTTTTTTTCTTGTTTCATATTCAGTAGCCTTATGATTAGCTATTTGTGAGTGAGTTTTCCTACATCGCTATCTTTACTACTTATAAAAGAGCAACCATTTTCTTTTTAGAAGTTAAAAAGCACAATAAACATGGCAGATGAGGGAGCCAGAATAATAAAAATTATCAGAAAATTGGATGTAGACTCCTAGCATGCTCTCTTTTGTTACTTTCATATTTTATATTTATTGGTCACATTGAGGTGCTCTTAGGTGTATGTACTGCTGGGTATCCTTGCCTTTCTTCCTGGTTCTGTATTTTGAGATTTATATGCAACTGGTTCATCTCACAATATGAACATGACCCCTCCTGAAAAAACAGTCGCCAATTGCATTGTCTTCTATAATGTAGTTATGCACCGTGTAGTACTAGCATATGACATATGTATAAGTTGTAGACCATGGTAGAAGGCATTATAGACTAAAATTACAAGTGTGAGTAATTTCACTTGAATATATTGCCATCCATTCCACATATTTCTACTCACTTTGTTGTTTGACAGAGTTGAATTGTCAGAGCCCAAAATGCATATGATTTTATTTTGTATGCTCACCCTAGATGCTACCACACAATTAGAGCTTATAATTACCGGTTCTTTTAGAATTAAATGGAAGTACATACTGATTTCAGTTTCTAAGCAAATATTTGACAGATTCCCCTTCAATCCGAAGCATAGGAAATGGAAAGTTTACCAAGAGTCTGTGGGAGAAATCATCAAGGGAACGACCTACGGTACGGGATACCGAAGAGTGTAAATTGTAGCCATATTTCCTTCTTAAAACAGATCTTTTTTCTTGGGACCAATTTATGTTGTATACTGAAATCATGTTGTATACTGAAATCATGTTGCATACTACAATCATGTTGTCTTAAGAAGAATCAAGCTGAATTAGCTTGTCCAGTGACACAATATGTTTAACAATGGGGGTTTGATACGATTAATTAGTAAATTTGATGTTCATCGTTTACAACTTATTAGAGACCAAATGGATGAAACATCATATTATTATTTTTATGTGGTAACGTGATGTGTTCACTTTTAAAAATATATCCCAAGTGACATCACAAACATTATGCATCCATCTAAAATTTATATGTTTTTTTAACATTATTATTTATCTAAGAGGCAAAATGTTCAGAATGTTCATTCATGTTAGTTTATAATAATTCTCAGAACATTTATTTTTTTCCTAGCAAATAATTATGTTTAGCTTCAATACATGTTTTCAGTTTACCATTAGGATTATGTCATCCAGTTTGTTGGGGAATATTTGTGGTTCACCAAGCATAGTTAAGTGGGCACATGATCTGTGTAGTCCAAGTGTGATCTAGACATGATGTTGTTCCCTAATTTTCTGCTATCTTAGAATATCTTTATTTGACGTGAAAATGGCTATTTTGTTGAAGGCTAAACTGAGCAACCAAATATCTCTTATTTACCTTGGTACCAATTATCTTTAGATACCATTTTTGTGATGTACTATAATAGTTGCAAAGTGGAAATGTTTCGACATTTGCTGAGCTAAGATACCGGTTAATCAAAAAATTAACCAGTTAATAGAAGAAGTAACAAATGTGAAAGTTTGACCACTTCGTTGGGTTTTGAGGCATCCACATGTTGAACGGACGAGGCTCCCGTGCCGTACTGCAGGGTGCAGTTGGCCCACTGACTGGTGGGTCTGGCAGCAGTTTGGCCCACATGTCAATGACCCAACTGCATCTTACAATACATCAGGGAAGCTGAGTCGATGTTGAACATGTGAGATCTACTTACCCAAGTGATTTTTTAGCTCTAACCAAAAAGCAGAGACACATTGTTCTACGGATATACGTGCGTTGCACGTGCACGTTTACTAGTAGGGATAAATGTATGCGCGTGTATACGAGTGCTGGTTAAAAAAAACACCCCTCCCTCTGTTCCGATTTATATATGTCGTTAAAGAGATTCACGTACAAATCTTGGGCACGTATCGAAAATTTTGGACTTTCCAAAAATGCCCTCCAACCGTTCCACTCGTTCCCCTCCCAGATCACCTCCTCTCGGCCACCTCTCCTCAACTTACCCGTCGTCGCCGGCCTCTCCTCTCCCCACCACCGCGTGCTTCCTCCCTTTCTTCCTACCACCGCCGCCACCCCGTTTTCTCCCATGGCGTGCGCCAGAAATCTAGCATCCCAAGGTCAAAAGATTAAATTTTTAGGCGCCGACGAGGAGCTTCTGGGCGGCGGAGGCGCTGGATCCGCGTGCGTCGACGCCGCCGACGAAGCGACATGGATCCGGGCGGGATGCTGCTGGAGGACTTCGGCAGCGGGTGGACCTGACGCGCGCATCCGCGAGGTGCTGGCCAACTACCAGGAGGGCACCACCGCGCTGCGCGAGCTCATCCAAAACGCCGACGATGCCGGGGCCTCGCGGGTCCGCGTCTGCCTCGACCTCCGCGCCCACGGCGCCTACTCGCTGCTCGCCCCGGCGCTCGCGCAGTGGCAGGGTCCCGCCCTGCTCGCGCACAACGACGCCGCCTTCACCGACGACGACTTTGCCAGCATCTCCCGCATCGGCGGCAGCAAGAAGACGGGACGCTTCGCGTATGTGTGCTAGCTACGCTCTCTGTCCCTCTCTGTCGGCAGTCTCTGCCGAGCTTTTCTTGGAGCTGTCGCGCAGTGGAGTATGAATGATGGCGGACCTTGTACCAATATGCTTAGCAAGAGAGTATTCCTTTGTTCTGCAGAAATTTGCTTGGAGTAAAATTTTACTGACAGTATTGCTTGGAGTAGCAAGATAGGGCATTCAGAATTTATGCCATAAATTTGCAGAAATTTTTGGGGTGGCACAAGTTCCAGTTGCCTATGTACATTTAGTTGCCTATGCACAAGTTCCAGTTGCCTATGTACCATTTTTGGGTAGCTCAGGGCGCGCTTAACTGCGGTAGTTCTAGTTGCTGGATTTGTTGGGCTGTACGCGCCATTGAATCTGATTCGCTTGAGCTCATCAAGCCTGCAGCAAATCTGATTCGCTTGATCCACTGAGATTGATGCCCTCAGTCCTTACTCTGCAATCGTTGCAGATTGCTTTGCCCTGGCTATATCAATCGATGCAGTGTCTTTCAGTTCTGTCCAAGGAATGCAAATCAAGTGGCACATAAATTAGCCAAATGGTCTTACCTTACAAATGTGTACTCCAGTAATTTTTCAGTAATTTTGCTTGGAGTAAACAAGGTTGAACTGTACATGTGTGAAGTAATTTTGCTTGGAGTATTTAACAAGATTGAACAAGATTTAACTTGTCAAGATTTAACAGTATTTTTCAGTAAGTACTCTGAACATGCAAGTGTTCTGAACATGCTTCTGAATATTTCCAGATTCTGAACATGCAAGCAAATCAGCAGGAGTAAACAAGCTGCTCTAAGCACACACTTGGACACGCGAAGTTTAGTTACTCTTACTGTAGTGTAAAATTAACTTGTGCTTGCAGTATAAAAGTATATATCTCCCTTTTTGTTCCACCCAACATTACTCTGCCGCAAGTAGAGTAAACTTTGAACTGCATATATGCATGGTAATACTCCAGGAGTATTTCTTGAGACCTCTAGCCCCTGTGAATTCACTACTGGAGTAGTTAGTGGTAACTTTCATGTGAGAAAGGGCACTGCTGACTTAATAACTTCAGTATTTTTGCACTGCTGACTTACATCTTCAGTACAATCCTACTCCTGAAAATTACAGGAGTATGTCATGTTTCTTCTTGTTAGTTACCATGTTTAGTTCTTCTACAAGTTCTGCCTCCTTGCATGTACTCCAAGTTGGAGTACTCTACAGTATTAAGTCGAAGCTCTCCTTTTATTGCCAAGTTTACTTTACTGAACATGTTTTGTTCTTCAAGGGAGTAGCCCATAGTTGCATTACTTGGAAGTTGGAAGACCTGATTACAAGACTTGAGTATCCGAGTACAAGACCTGATTACAAAACCTGAGTATCTGAGTACAAGACCTGAGTATATTCTTCCATGAATAATCCATCTGCAATCTACTCTCAGTTTGCACAAAAGTTATGAGAAAAATGAGCAAAAAATTCATAGTGAAATACTGGACTGTACTTTACTTTAGTGATCTTCTGGTACATGAGTAATTCAGTCAAATTCATAGTGATCTCCTGGAGTAAGTAGCAGAGTGTTTATGTTGGCACTCTACAACATCTGAATTGTTTAGACACTATTCCATGTACTTCTACTGGAACTGGAGTAATTCAGTCAAATTCATAGTGATCTCCTGGAGTACTTGTACTGAAACTGGAGTAATTGAAAGTTTTCTTTATCTTAAACTTAGGTATGATTCAAAATTTTCTTTATCTCAAACTCAGAGCAAGTTTCAGTCTATGATCATCAAATTGTTTATGTTTGCAATGTTTCTAGCGACAGCAGAGGAGTATCGGGAGAGGAGATGAACCTGGGGCGAGCAAAATTGAGTTCAGCACCAGCGCCGAGTACTCCAGCGGCAGTAGTGCCTGAGCACCCAGCTCGCCTACACCTCGGCACGGGCGAGGAAGAGCTCAGCACCAGCTCACCTCCACCTGGGCGGGGGCGAGGAAGAGCCCAACACCATCTGGGGAGGAAGATCCTGGGCGAGGGGATCCTGGACGTGGGAGAGGAGGAGATCCTGGGCGTGGGAGAGGAGGAGGACATGCTGGTGCAGGGGGCGAAGGTGGGGGGCGGAGGTGGTGGAGGATTCAAAATTAGAGAGGTAATTTAGTCGTTTCGCTGGTTTTCACCTGGTCGGAACAAAGTGCCCAGCGACTTATATTTCGGAACGAAGGGAGTAGAAGTGATGTACTCTTAGTGAACTGCCGCATTAGTTTCATTTTACCTGATTACCTTGCAGTACTCCTAATAGTCAGTTTGATCTCTCTTAACTTTGGTGCCATAATAATTTGTTTGTCAGTTTCATCTCTCTGAATTCTGTAGCTGTCCTGACAAACTAAATTCTGGAGTAGCTAAATTCTGAATATTAAAAATATTGCAATGTACTGTCAAGTTACTCCAGCACATGTTGTTTTACTTGGAGTAGTGCTCTAGTTAAAATCAGTACTCCAGCAGATGTTGTTTTCCAGTGTTCACATTCTGAAACTTGCACTACAGTAATACTCTAGCACATGTTCCTAGCGCTGATTAACTTGCACCTACAGTATTACTCCAGCACATGTTGTTCCTAGTGTTCACATTCAGCTGAAACTTGCACCTACAGGGAGTTTGTCATTTTTCATTTGATAGTGTACTACTATTTGTTATTGTACCAGAAAGTGAATTACTCTTTGGAACTTGACGTACTGAAACAGAGTTTTTGTTTCAGCAACGGGGAGCTTGATGTAATGGCCTTTCTGCTAACCCTCCCAGAGTATCGTTGAACTACATGGGCTAGTCCGGTGGCGGATCGCCTTTGCCTCTGTGAAATGTTTAGTGGTGAGCTTTTATTGGCATAATGTTTCGACAAGCTCTTTTTAGTGCTGAGCTTTCACATTGAGCTTCTTTGTATGCCTAGCGTCGAGCGAGCTGTGCAGATATGCTAAACTCATTCTGAAGTTTGTTTAGGAACGCAAACTCAATGTAGTCAAATTTCATTTCACTCACCACGATTATCAGAGGTTGCAGGAGTAGGCATGTGTCAGAGTTACTCCCTCCGTTCCAATTTACTCGTCTTGGTTTAAGTTCAAATTTGAACTAAAACCACGACGAGTAAATCGGAACGGAGGGAGTAAATGCTAACTCCCTAGCGTTCCAAAATATACCAGCCATAAAGAAACTATGCATTATTTTTAGCATATCTAACCTTTGGCTTGACACTGACCCCTCCAGCGCAAGTCTGCTTATGCTTGGGTTTATAAAGAGAGGTTAATAAAACTAATTCAGATTCACTCTACATCACTATTTTTTAAAGCAAACTTTTTTCTTCTCATTAGCAAGGAATAAATCACTCCTAGTTTTTTCTAAACTCTTGATCATAGAAATAGTTGACTCTATTTCCTCAGGAGTTTTGCCTAAACATGAGAAATAAAACTAGGGACTATTTAAAACAGTAGGAACAATTGTGTTACCTGTTGTTATCTCTAGATTCTTCTTCCTTGCCATTCCAACAGCTTTGTCAATAGTCTACCCTCCATTCTTGTTTCTATCGCTTCATCTAGACTCTAGAGCTGCAATGGATACACAGAGCTACTACAATAATGGTTACATATTCGATACATAATGGAAGTTGGATAACACGGAGTACATGCTCCGTACTAGTACAAACAGTCATAAATTACAAGCCTCGAATGTCTTATGCAAACAAATTACTAGTACCACAACTCTGTTTTTTGAAGCCTCCCCTAGAAAGCAACACCCTAGGTCTATCTGAAACCCATCATCAACAACCAAATTTGTTGGAGAAGGGAGACCCAACTAAAGTGCTTAGTATTACAGACCAGTAGGAGGAAACATTGACAACTACTACTAGTACTGACTAAGGAACACAAGGCGGTGCTACTGTCCAGCGGATGTGGAACCACCCACACATTACTATTAAGCAGGTCAAGCTTCAGGCTAGATGGAACCCCAGCACATCAGTGACGTCTTCCGCCCAAATGTTGAAGTCTCCACCTTTCCCTTGGAGAGCAGATTGAGGATTAGCGGCGTCATCCCTGGAACCCCGTGCGCGGAGGTAAATCTTGGATCCTTCACCTGGATACTCATGTACGCCTGATCCGATCAAGACTGCAGCGTGATTTATGCCAGCCTTGGCAGGAGCATGATATACCTCGTTTCCATCCACAAAGTCGAATGCTCTCCCAGCAGCATAATGACAAAACAGAGGGAATCCTCCAGCTATCAGCCTAATGATTTGCTCGATGCGCCCAACGCCGCCGCGATTAGCTATGCGAAAGACTTTGCCTATCTTCTGGGTGAAATCTGGTGTGGCCCTCTGTCGATAACCGTCCTGCATGCTCGAGCAATCAAAACCCACACCGTGATTCTGTAAGATGTAAGCGATACATTCCGGCCTCTTAAATCGCAGGTGCGCACATGGACCGGTCTCGTAGCCAAATGCTGTCTTGAAGATACGCATGTACGTGGTGAAGAGATGCCCATCATCGAGTTCCGTGCCAGGCTCTGCTCTAAATGTAAATGCTTCATGGATCGTGCGCATGGCATCCACAGCAGTCAAGAATGCATGCGCCACGCTCGTATCTGCAAAAAGGATACATTAATATATGGCCCAGGCAAGCACCGCCTAATTACAATCTGGCCTAATTAACATGAATCAGCTCCACCCGAAAACCCCAGATTTAGCCAGAATTGTACTACGGTTTCTTCATATTTACTACTACTAGGAAGGAAAGGCAGCATTAAATTACGATCTGGCCTAATTAACATGAACAAGAAACCAACACCTAAGTTACGACCTGCTCTAATTGTATATAAGCAGCAACAAGTAATTAAATTGAGTGACTTGTAATTACTAGTAGTAAGTCGGATGTTAGTACTTACTGTAATCTCCTTGATTCCGGACGAGAAAATCAAGTAACACATCCCTTATGCTGATGTGCGGGATATCCCAACAATACCCTGCAGGGTTCTGCCACAATTTATATTTAATTAGTAATACTGTAGTAAAATTATACTACGTACTAGCTAGTCATGGAAAAAGACTCGCATCTCTCTGGTGTACACAAGTACTACCCTGGGGCCTGGGCCCATTTCATTAATAGAAGAAGAAAGTATACTTTTCCCCTCAAATCTCTCTTGTTGGATCAAATTCCCCCCCAAAGTCTAAAACTGGTTAAATCACCCCCTCAACTCTTCAATACCGGATCAATTAGCCCGTAACCACCACCGCGGCCGTCCACTAGCGGTACACGGCTGCCATGGCTGAGCTCGGCCAGCGCCCTCCTGTACCACGCAGACGCAACTCGCCTCATGCTTCACCCGCTCGCCTACGCCACCCATGGCCGAGGCCATAGCCCCGAGCTTAGCCGGCCACGGCCTGACCACCTTGCAGGTTGCAGCCGCGTCCCGCACCGCGAGCACGCCCCCAGACGAGCCGCGCTGCCGCACTACAGCGCACACACACCCCTGCGCGTGTCTGCAGATGCCCAGCCGCCCGTGCTTGTGCCCGGAGACCTCCCTTGGCCCGCCATGGCCAAAAGGACCAAGCTCCGTTGCCATGTTTGCACTTTTGGACTGAACCTATAACCTCACACGAACATCCAGCCACCCCGTCTGCCATGTTTGCCAAGCACAGCACCAGCACGAACGCCAAGCATGCACAGATTTGAGGGGGGAAAGTATACTTTCCTTCTAATATAATCGCATCAGCTAGGAACCATCTACACTACCCCTCCTTTTCGTATTGCTCTTCCTTCCATCCTGCTAACTACTTCCTTTTCTCAAAAAAAAACAAAATGCTAACTACTCCCTTTTCTCAAAAAATAAATAAATGCTAACTACTGCGCGAGGGCTGGGAGTCCTTTTCCAATGACTAGCTAGCTAGTACTCTACTAAAAAACTTCAACTTACAAACAATTTATATTCACAGATGCACTACATTTATAGAGAACAACTTCAACATTGAGCACATCTTATTCCAGGAATCTTGGTCTAACAACTAAGAATTTTATTATTTACTTTCATGAATTATTAGGAGAAAAAAACAGTTTAGTTTCTCAATCAACTTAAAATTTTAAGCAGCAAACTAAAGAAGAGCGGAAAAAAGGGAGGATGCATGGGCTACATATTTAAACAGGCAGGAAGTAAACGGGAGGAGGACTAACCACACGGTGACACTCCTTGCAGAAGAGAGGAGGCAGCATGAGAAGAAAGTTGTTTGTAGGATTGTTAAGCACAGAGTCGTTGTTCTTATGTCCCCCTCGGTTCGTGCAGGTCCACTCTGCTGCCACAACTGGACCTGGCATCTTCTTTGTAGTCATACCAGCCCTTCGATCAAGATACGCGAACGTGGGAGGTAGGCAGAGGTCCATCTTAGGCTCGGGAATACGAGCACGCGCCATCTGATCTGAGGAAGAAACAACCTATGATGATTAAAATACGATGCATGGTCTAGTCTAGTGTTAAACTTGAGAGATAGAGGGAGGGAGGGAGGGAGAGAGAAAGAGGGAGCGCACCGCCGGCGGGCACCCGAAGCTTGAGTGAGTCGGCCACCAGCCTCCTTCTTCTGTTCTCTCCCGCTCGATGATCTTAGCTTTCTCTACTTCTCAGCCATCCACCTCTCCTCTCCTCCCTCTCGCTCTTCTTATACACCAAGGTAGAATTTACTAGTGGGTGCCTCGGCCGGAGCCAACCGCATCAAATGCGGTGGCCAACCGCATCAAATGCCTTGGCCATGGGCGCCTGCGCCTCTGCAGAGAGAGAGGATGGGGAGGACTGATGAGATCCATGCATGGTCAGAAACTCAGAATCAAGCCAAACGTTGGAGAGAGAGAGGGATGGGCGGAGACTGCTGAGGTCCATGCATGGTCAGAAGAGGCGGGGCGTGTTGTGTGTGTTGCAGCGAGTAGCACACTCGACGATGCTAAGGTTCCGTACAGCAGTGAGAGAAATCCGTGTCACAGTGTGTGTCCTTGTGAACAGTGGTTTTGCATTTATATCAAATCCAAAGCTGGCCGTGGCAAGATCAAAAGCAAAGTGCAGGCAGTAGCCTAGAGCCCTAGCCTATGTTATGTTTGTACAGTAGTTTACAGAGGGAGGTGCGTAGCAGGACAAGAGCGGCAGCAGCTTCCCATTGGATGGTAGCGAGCGTGCCAGCACCCGTCCATTCCATCTCTGTGGTGTGGCTGCGGTAAAAACGGCACTACACTGTGCTGTGTACTCCCTCCGGTCCTTTTTACTCTGCATATTAGGTTTGTCTGAAGTCAATCTCATCCAACTTTGACCAAGTTTATATAAAAAATTATAGACATTCACATAACAACACCAATATCATTAGATTCATCTTGGAATATATTTTCATATTATATTTATTAAATATTATAGATGTTAATAATTTTTAATATAAATTTGGTCAAACTTAGCAAAGTTTGACTTTCGGCAAAACCAATGTGCAAAGTAAAAAGGACCGGAGGGAGTATTATTCAAAACACATACTCGATCACGCAAGGCAATAAAAGAAAAAACTCCAAATGTACGTGTAAGAGCAACTTCAAGGAAGAGACCCATTTTATCCGTTTGGGTCATCCGAACACAAAACTTTATCAAATGGGTCGATCTAAATGGACGTTTGTGTCCATCTGATGTCCTCCCCCGACCCAAACTTGACCCAAATCTGGGAACAAATGGGTACGAAGCGAACAGAAGCGGACGCTCTCGTCGACCGCGGCCGTCCGCTCGTGTCCCCCCCTGGTCCCACCTAGCAGTGACTAACCACGAGTTGGCATCTAGCTCCACCTACCCCGAGTGGAGGAGCGAGGCCACCGGCGAGACCAAATGCGCAGGCGGCCGCCGCGCTCACCGGAGAGCCCCCGAGCACCTCGCCCCGCACGGCGCGCCACCTCGCCCCGCCACCCGCACGCCCGGCCGCTCGCCGTAGGCCTCGCCACGCCTCCCCGTGCACGCCGCCTTGAGCCGCGCCACCTCGCTCCGCCCGCCGCGTGCCCCGCAGCTCGCCTCCACGACCGCTGCTTTGCCCGTGCGCCGCTCGCGCGCGCCGCACCCCGCGAGCAGGAGGTGGTCGAGCGGGGCGACGAGCAGGAGGCACGGGACAACACGACCACCGCGTCTGGGGTCAGGGGCGGCGCCACGACGGACGACAGCGAGACACCTGCGTGGAGGAGCGGCGGGGCCCGACGGCGTGAGGGGGAGCAGCGGGGCCCGACGGCGCGAGGGGGAGACGAGGGTGGCGGAGGGATGCCCACAGTGTCCGCTCTGTCCGCTTTTAGGTTCTTGTGTTGGATGCCCGCAGTGTACGCCCCATGTCCGCTTGGCGGACAAAAGACCCAAACAGACAAAAAGCGGACAAAATCCGTGTCCGTTTGGGTCCCTGCGTTGGAGCTGCTCTAATGACGCAAACGGATACATATTTTGTCCGTTTGAATCTAGCGGACTTGCGGCAGACAGTGTCACATCGCCCCAAGCGTTTTCGCCGCTGCTCAAGGTAGATCTCTCATGCGCCGGCATCGCCCCAAGCCAGACGGGTGGCGCACTGACCCACTCGCGCACTCCTTGTCAGGTGTACCGGTGGTGCGTCAGCGGATCCTGGGAGGGTGTCAGCTCGGGCCTGACGGGGGACAGTGGCATCAATGGCGGCACGAAGTCGTTGGAAGCAGGGTGCGATGGCCTCCGATAGGCGCGCCTAGTACGCCACCTCCTCCAAAGAGTTAACAATGTTAGATGGTTAAGCACAAACGACATAACAACATTGGCGGGCTGACCACATGGTGATCCATCTTTTTTCATGCCCATATTGGTCATTTTCACCACAAATATGAAACTTTGTTGGATTCGTAGAGAGTAAATGCAACAGTTACTTCATCTTCATAGGGCATCCCAAGTTCAAATATTCATATGAAAAGACCTATTCATATGAAAACACCGTGGAAAGATTATGCGGTGCAACTCAATTGCATTCCATGGAGTAGGTCACAATATATACAAAGAGATGTCTTACGTGACAAGAAAACTAACCCTACCATATCTCTAGGAGTCAACTATACAAGGCTAGAGAAGATAGAATTAGAAGTACAATACGTCACGTTCAACACCCCCCCGCAGTCGAAGCGTCGGCGTCGGCGATGCAAAGACGGTAACCGAACTCCTGGAATGCAGCGGTTGAGAGACCTTTGGTCATAATGTCGGCGAACTGTTGGGTGGTCGATACATAAAGAACCAGGAGCTGACCTAACTGAACCTTCTCGCGAACGAAGTGAACTGCACCGAGTTGGCCGCGAGGTAGGTGGCCGAAACATTATTACAAAAAACCACCGTAGCTTTCAGGATTGAGACCCGAAGTTCGCCAAGAAGTTGATGAAGCCAACAAGTCTCGGCAATGACGTTGGCGATGGCACAATACTCGGCCTCAGCGCTCGAGCGGGAGACGGTGGGTTGCCGCTTAGAGGACCATGAGACAAGCGAATCGCCAAAGAACACACAATAGCCTGACGTAGAGCGGCGAGTGTCAGGACAATCGGCCCAATCCGCATCAGTGTAGGAATACATCTCAGTGGAGGTGGAGGCACGAAGACGAAGACCAAAGGTCGGTGTCCGGCAAATGTACCGGAGAATGCGCTTGACCAGAGACCAGTGAACATCGCGTGGCGAGTGCATATGCAAGAAAACTTGTTGTACGGCAAACTGAATATCTGGTCTGGTGAGCGTGAGGTACTGAAGAGCACCAACAATACTGTGGTAGAGAGCGGCGTCAGTGGCAGGTTGTCCAGCAGTGGCAGAGAGCTTCGGCTTGGCCTCGGCAGGAGTAGCAGCAGGTTTGCAATCGGTCATGCCAGCACGATCCAAGAGATCAAGAGCATACTGTCCTTGATGAAGAAAAAATCCAGAGGAATCACGTCGCACATTAATGCCGAGGAAGAAGTGCAAGGCACCCAAGTCCTTCAGTCAAAACTCAAAACCGAGGTGACCAATGATGTCGTGAAGTAGATCCGCGTGAGAGGCGGTGATGACGATATCATCAACATAGAGGAGAAGCATGGCGACATGATCAGCTCGATGAAGCACAAATAGCGACATGTCCGAGGTGGTGTTGCGAAAACCAAGAGCGGTGAGAAATGTTGCAATGCATTGATACCACGGACGAGGTGTCTGTTTCAGACCGTAAAAAGAGTGTGATAGCAGACAGACATCATCAGGTCGGGTGGGATCAACAAATCCAGTGGGCTGCTGGCAGAGAACACGCTCCTGGAGATTACCATATAGAAAGGCGCTGTTGATGTCGAGCTGATGAACATGCCAATGACGTGAGGCGGCAAGCTGAAGAACCACACAAATCATGGCAGGTTTAACGACCGGGGAGAAAGTCTCTGAGAAGTCAACACCGGCACGTTGTGCAAAGCCGCGAACAACCCAACAAGCCTTGTACCTGTCCACAGAGCCATCCGGGAGAAGCTTGTGCCGAAATACCCACTTGCCGGTGATGATGTCGGCACCGGGTGGACGAGGAACCAATGTCCAGGTCTGGTTGGCGACGAGGGAATCATACTCAGCGCGCATAGCCCCAAGCCAGAGCGGATCACTCAATTCCGAGCACACCGAGCGCAGTACTGGAGAGATCGTCGTCACACTGAGATTGTGATAGCGTGGGTTCGGTTGATGTATCCCGTCTTTAGCACGCGTCACCATGGAGTGATGAGGCGGCGGAGGCGGGGCTCGAGCCCGACGTCGAGGCGGAGGTGCAATCTCTGTTGCGGAAGAGGACGATGACGAGGCTATGGGAGAAGCCACGGGCAACAAGGCCGTGACCGAAGCCGCAGGCAACGGCGAGGGAGCCACAGGCGAAGCCGCGGGTGGCGAAGACGAGGCCACGGGTGAGGCCACGGGTGGCATAGACGTGTCCACGGGTGAGACCGCAAAGGACGATGGCGACCCGACGGGAGAGGCCACAACCAACGTGGGTGCGGACGGGAGCGTCGGAGAGGCAGCCGGGAACCCAACCGAGACGCTTCCTGAGGATGCCGCCAGGCCAGCAGAAGCAGGCGTCGAAGCCTCCAGGAGTGAGGCCGGCTCCGCCTGAGCCGAGAGAGGAGGCTGCGCCGAGGGAGCCGAAGGGCTCGCCGAAGATGCATGCATGCGCGGTGGAGGGAGCGCAAGGGCTCACCGAGGCCGACGAGGGGAAGAATCCGAGGATGGCTCCGCTGTGGGAGAAACCTGTTGAAAAGGAAAAGCAACCTCATCAAAGTAAACGTGCCGCGAGACGAAGACACGGCGAGAGACCAGATCGTAGCAGCGAAATCCTTTGGTGTTGGGTTGATAGCCAAGAAAGACACAGGCAAGAGACCGCGGCGCGAGTTTATGTGGGGTGGTGGCGGTGATGTTGGGGTAACAC